GACGATTTTTTTTTTTTTTTTTTTTTGTTCTCATGTCACAAAGATTAAGATTCTCATACTTCGTTCCGGGAAAGATTAAGATTCTCATTCTTTTGGAATTTTTAGCTTGTATGTAGTTCAGACATTGTGGTATGAAATTGTTTTTGTAGATCTTCGAGTATAATGGAAGTGCCGTAGTTGCGATGGTGAGGAAGAATTGTTTTGCCATTGCTAGCGATCGTAGGCTTGGAGTTCAGCTTCAGACAATTGCCACAGATTTCTAGAAAATTTACCGGATTCACGATAAGCTATTTCTTGGCCTTTCGGGCCTCGGTACCGATGCTCAAACACTGTATGTTCCTGTGGTTGATTCTTTTCCGGTTGGTTTAATTTTCCATTGCTTAACTCCTTCTGCGTTTGAAATGAAGGTATCAATGGCTTGTCTATCAGCACAAACTATACTAGCTTCGAGAAGAGAGGGACATGAAACCCGACATTTGGTAGCCTTGTCTCAGGATGTCTTTATGAGAAAAGGTTGGACATCGATTAAACTTCTATTTATCTCTTTTTCAGCAGTTTTAATCACGCATACTCTCTATTTTTCGCCTAGACTGAAGAACATGCTTGGGAATGAGATTTCTATAGGATTTGTACGAGCTTCATTTGTGTGTATATGTTGATTCTTCTACCAATGTGATCCTCTTAAGTCGGTGTAATATTGTAAGCTGACTTGATAGATATGTTGCCTTACACTAAGTTGCTGAGGATTGTTGGGAAGGAGTCCTACATTGGCTAATTAAGGGAATGATCATGAGTTTGTAGGTAAGGAATACATCTCCATTAGTATGAAATCAAAAGCAAAGTCATGAGAGCTTATGCCCAAAGTGGATAATATCATACCATTGTGGAGGTCTGTGATTGCTAATATGGTATTAGAGCCATGTCTTTAACTTTGTCATGTCAATAGAATCCTCAAATGTCAAACAAAGAAGTTGTGAGCCTCGAAGATATAGTCAAAAGTGACTCAAGTGTTGAATAAAGGGTGTAGTTTGTTTGAGGGATCCAAAGAAGGAGCTGAGCCTCGATTAAGGAGAGGCTGTTCGAGGGCACCATAGGCCTTAGGGGAGACTATGGTGTACTTTGTTCGAGAGGAGGATTGTTGAGGATTGTTCGGAAGGAGTCCCACATTGGCTGATTAAGGAAATGATCATGGGTTTATAAGTAAGGAATACATCTCCACTGGTATGAGGCCTTGTGGGGAAACCAAAAGCGAAGTCACGCGAGCTTATGATCAAAATGGATAATATCATACCATTGTAGAGATTCATGGTTCCTAACATGGTATCAAAGCCATGCTTTTAACTTAGCCATGTTAACAAAATCCTTAAACGTCGAACAAAGAAGTTGTGAGCCTCGAAAGTGTAGTCAAAATTGACTCAAGTGTCGAACAAATGGTGTACTTTGTTCAAGTGCTCCAGAGAAGGAGTCGAGCCTCGACTAAGAGGAGGCTATTCGAGGGCTCCATTAGGTCTTAGGGAAAGCTCTATGATGTACTTTGTTAAAGGGAGGATTGTTGGGAAAGGAGTCTCACATAGGCTAATTAAGGGGTTGATCATGAGTTTATAAGTAAATGCGAAAAGTGGACCATTGTGATTTCTAACAAGAGGAAAATCTAGTAGCAAAAAAAGATTAATTTTCTGATTAGAGAACTGTGGCTTGAATTACATTGTTAGACAATTGACATGAACCAATTACTAATGGAAGCATTGCACAATTGTTCCTAGGACTCATAAAAGAAAGAAATGGGCTGTGGTCATGGAGTTTTTGCTAAAGCTAATGATCTATTTGAAAGTTCTCTTTGGATTATCTTGTCATCTGCTTCATGGAAGGCTTCTTCCATCACTAAGTGCATTGAGCATCGACCAACAAAGTTTTGGTGATGTGTGGACATGGATCACCGCCAAACTTATGATTCAAGATTGGAATGGAGCATTTAGCCTTCCCTAGACATAGCTGAAATAACATTAACACACAATTTTCATGTGAGTTATTGTCTTGACTACCTTATATTTAATGAGTGTTGATGTGTTTAAGGAACAAAACTCACCTGCTCTGCAACGGCTCTGGAGCTTGGGGAGTGACAGGTTCCAGTAGCGTAGCTTTGACAGTCACCAGAAGGGGTCCCGAAGCTTGCAAATAAGATGCTGGAGATGTTCTTGTTCGTAGGGCAGCTTAATCGGACCTTTGGCCTTCTACTACTCGCGCTCTGATTCTTTTCACCCATCCATGAAGCTACTAAGGGGTAATGTGATTCGGACACTTGCCCACATGTTTTGGTAATGGAAACAACATCCAAAGTGATCCCTACCGGGTTTCCTGTTTCTTCTTCAAAGATAACCAACAGGTTTCCGGTTGGCTTTAGGAAGGAACGTGGTACATGATACCTGGATTGAAACAACACAAATAATTGTATTAAAGATATGATATAATAACACCAGAGACTAAGGTCTTAATAAACTGTGTACCATTTCTGTGAAGCCTCCCCTTTTCCAGTGAGGAAGGAGACCCAGTACCGGCCAATGCCCCAGCCATTAACCCAAACTGCACCTTTCCCCATGGAACCAAGGTTCAGGGCGATAGGGTCATCACCCGGAGGTGCATCGAACTGTGTCTGTCAATTAGCAATGAATTTGGAATGATAACAGAGGTCAGTTTTTCAAAGGTCAGTTTTTCAACAATAGAATTTAAGATTGTTGTTGGAGTGTAATGGCCTAAACTTACCACTAGCAATAGATATTGTCCTCTTTGGACTTTTCCTCAAAGTTTTTAAAACGTGTCTATTAGGAAGAGGTTTTCACACCCTTATAAATAATGCTTCATTCTCCTCTCCAATCAATGTGAGATCTCACAATCCACCCTTTGGAGGCTCAGCATCTTGCTGGCACTTGTTTCCCTCTCCGATCCATGTCGTTCCCTTTTCCAATCGACGTGGGATCTCACAATGCACTCGTTCCCTTCTCTAATTGATGTCGTTCATCTTTCTTAAAAGAGGACAATATTTGCTAGCGGGTAAATTTGGGCCGTTACAAATTGTTTAGGGATTAGTACCTTATACCATGTGAGGGGCTGAGAGGATTTATCTAATTTACTCCATTGAGTATCATTTGACCCCGAGCCTGAAAATATTTGCGAGTTCTCTCCTGATAGGCCAACCTTTCGACAGATTGTAAAAAAAAAAACCAACAAAAATATGATTGAAGGTTAGCTTTTAAGTTTATATACATCAGATTCAAGTTTGTATTTATTTTCGTATTAGGAGATTAGAAAATTGAAGGACCTTGTATCCCCAAGTTTGCGCAGAGTAATCTTTGCCTCCAATTATCACTCTTAGTAGTCCAACAACTCTTCTCTCAAGATATGCTCCAGAATCCTTCACATAGAAGCTGTCAGAGCTCGCTCAGATGGTATAAATATACATCAAACTAAGGAAGAAAAGATAAAATATTCGTACCGCTAACCCGACCATCACACTGAGCAATGAGATGTTGTTGGTTCCATGTCTCAATGTAATATTATTATTTAGAGAGAAGTTTGGTTCATTTTTAGCTCCATGGGCGGAGCCTATAAAACATTAATAGATAAATGCTCAGTAATACGGTTTCTCCGAGTTTCAACCATAAAAATAAGGTCAAGACTAGCCTGCATAAACTCCATTGACGAATGCATGCACAACATGAGCTCGAGAACCCACTTCAAGTATTTGTTGAGAGTCGGGAGAATCCTGTTGAACACTGCCATTTGATAATTGTATGAGCTTATTATCTATATATTTTAGGAATGGAGATACTTAGATATTTTAGATAAAAGAATTAAGTTATTTTAGGAATAAGTGGTCAGCCATTTTAGAAATAAATTGTTTAGCTTCTACTGTAAAGACCCTCCAACCTAGGTTTTCATCCCAAAAATAAGTCTAGAGCAAAATGTAGTAGTATTCTACAAAGTGTGTTGTATTCTCCTCTCGATTAGATTGTGTTAGCAAAGAGTACAAGTATTTCCCACGAAGAGTTGTGTTCAACAATAGTTAGATTATCAACGGCAGAATTTCCACTTATAGTTTACCTCATAGTGTACCAAAGATAATCTGAGCGATCCTTTGTGGTATTTGTCTGCTCTAATAACATGTTTTCTCTTAATGTGGTTTCATCAAAGTTTGGTATCAGTTCCTTGAACTCTTGCCATTTTTCAGACGAATCAAACATTTGTACTGCCTTCATTGTTCTTGTATTGTGTTGTACGCTTACCTGATAAATAGTATTTCAAGGGTTAATATCAATAAGGAATAAGAGAAACTAGTTGTTGGTTTAAGCCTTACCCTTTTGGTGTTGAAGGCCACAGTTTTACAATCTGGTAAGATGCTGATGGAACTCGAAGGTAACTCGTATGTAACTTCCTGAAACAGAACACTCACATCCTCAGCTCCCCTATTCACCAAAAAGGCAGCACACTCTCCGGACTCAGTTTTGAACATAATGGCCTGCCAAAAGAGATTGATTAGTAAATAGGTCTATAATTTCGAAGAATTTCAACCTCAACAAGTAATCATTTACGTTCTTATAGTGTAGTCATTGTAGATGTCATTTCTTTTTCATCCTAGATTGTGTTGAACACAACTTTGAATTGCATGGAATGATGTTATTGACGGCATAAACTTACTTTTTGTAGTTGGCCGAGTGAGATGTTGGATTTTGTTCCAGAAAGCAAGGGTTTGGTACATAGCTTAACTGCAGCATGTAATTCCTTAAGATGACTCCATTTTGGTTCTCTAGGTAAACCTGTAGAAAAAAAAATGTGGTGAACAGGTTCTAGCTGATGCAAAAATTCAAATCGTTGAGCTAATTTAACGAAGATACGATTTTCGAAAATGTCATACCATATTCGTCCAGAGGTGCTTGATCATAGTAGCCTGTAATGACATATTCCGCTGTTGATCTTCCAAAATTGGTTCCTCCATGATACTATGAGAAAGTGAGTAGTGGTTTTTGGTTTAAAATAATCACATCTTTAAATAGGTTCATACGAACAAATAAAAAATTGAGAGAGAGATTTATATCAAATACCATATAATAATTGACAAAAGCCCCATTCTTTGCAGCAATGAAAAGGGCTACATGAAATGCAATATCCTCTGCTGATCTTATGTACGGTTCACCTCCATAAACTTGATAGCTGTAACCCATCACTCATAAGAAATTAATATCAATCTGGTTTGCATGATATGCAAAATATTTGGATACAATGCAAGCGCAAGACTTACTTGCTAGTCCAATTCTCAGTCCAAATAGATGGCTTATTAGGCGAGTTTGGTCCAACGAATGTTTCTCCACATTCTAGCCCATTACATGCATTTATCTACCAATTGAACATCTAAGTAAAATAGAAACAGAAAGGAAAATATAAGTCATATGGTTATGTTTACGTACATACCACAGGGTCAGGTGCATCGTCTTGCTTGCACATGGTCCATGGCACACCAGTCTGAAGGCTAACCGCCATGTTTGCTGCCCATTTAACATAAGGAGGTCCTTTCTCATGGAAGGATGCCTCCACCATCGAGTATTCATTCTCAATCTGCAATTCCATTGATGAGTTTTCTTAAAGAAGTGACATGAAAAAAGAATATAAAAGAAAAGGTTCATTGGTGGTGTTGCCCACTGGGCTCGAACCTGTGAAAGTATAATAGGCCCTCCCTGAGAAGCATATAAGCCTTCCGACTTCATCATGTTCACTATCTTCGTGGTGAAGTTTTGCATGTAAAGCTGCCATTAAAGGTGCAAGGTGACTATGAAATCGTAACAGCTTTACATTTTGATATCAATATTTCGGTACAATACCTTGAATGGTTCATTATCAGATCGATAAACAATTTCCGGAATATCATGTAGCCAAAATGGTAGACCGCTGCATTAGAAAGTTAAGACAAGGACTAAGAAATGGTCATTTTTAAAGGAAGCATATCATGTACCTCTTACCCATAATTCCATTCTGCCTCAATAAAGGGTCCAATCCTTAAGCTAGCGTATAATCCTTGTGCTTGTACTTCCTTTAAGAATCTTACTATATCGCGTCCACCACTAAAATCATACTGGACAAACAAGATTTTTATTTTTTGTTTATGCCATGGACACCTTTTTGACAAATAGAATGTATAGAAATTTAGTTACCGTTCCTCGTTGGGGTTCATGAATGTTCCAGAATACGTAGGTTTGTATCACATCTATTCCACCTGCCTTTGCTTTGGCTATCAAAGATGACCATGTCTACGTAACAACAAAAAATAATTCCCTAAATTAAAAATAATAATAATAATAATAATAAACCATACCTTTTAGTAGACATGTTCCCGTGCGCGTGAATCACTTTATTTTTATTCTTTGTTCGGTTTTGTTTATTATATTTAATATAAATTTTAAAATACACATCAATTTTAGACCCATTGCTATTATAAGAAAATACATACCATTTTTGTTTAATTCACAATATAAATTTAATATAACAAACTATAATAAAATTTATATACGTAATTTATAGATCAAACCAAAATATTTCAATTAAAAAAAAAAACAAGTATAAAAAAAATTAAATCATATTCAAATTATATTAAAATAATTAGATGCTTTTCATATTTAAAAATTATAACTAAATTGAATAAATTTATTTGAATTGATTCACCTCAAAACAAACATTTTATTGTATTATTCATTAAATGAATTTTACTTAAAATTAAATAATGTCAGAACGAGTAATCATATTCACTAAAAAATAGAAGAAAGATCGAGAAAATGTAAATTCATAAACAAACAAACATGAATGTTCGATGAACCAATACGACTATCTATTTCACTTAACAATAACACAACTAAACGCATTTTATTTCCAATTTCGAACTAACATAACACCCATTTCACTATAATGCCACATGGATGATCGATAGGAAACAAAAAAAACGTTTTCCACCAAAATTTTGAACACAGTGAAAGTTCATCCGTCTTTATTATTCAATTCAAACCAGAAACAAAAACTAAAGAACAAATGAAAAAAAGAAAGAAATCAAACTCACTTCGGGAGTACTCCGCGTATAGTGAATAGAACCAGAGAAGAGAAGTTTGTGTTCGCCGTTGATGATCAACGATCTTCCGTCGTAAGTTACATTGCTACCGTTGTGGTTGCCTCCGAGGATGTCGTCGAATAACGTTGTCATCAATACCAAAGCTGAAATCCACTGTAATCTAACTACGTTGTACTCTGTTTTCGCCATTGATTCTCGAAACTACCTTATTTTCTTCTCAGACTTTTCACTGCTGTCTTTTTATGTCAGCACCTAACAAGGTATTTTTCTTCCTTATATATAGAGCTTCATAATTAACTGTTAATTACCTTAAAAAAATTAAATTAAAATAAAAAGACTTAAGAAATTGACCGATTTGAGTCCAACTGAAATTAATTAACTAATAAAATATTAGATTAAATGCAACTTTACCTCTCCCTTATTAAAAAATAGCTACTAAATGTTTAAAATTTTAATTTATATCTATTTTTTTATTTTTTATTGAATAATCACTTTTTTATTTTAAAAAGAAGTTTAGTATTATTAAAAATAATTTATATTTAAAATTTGAATATATCATACCTACGTAAAATTACAAAATTCATTATAGGCCAGGTTACAAATTTATGGACTAAAATTGTAATTAAAAAAAAACGGGGTAATTATAAATTAATAATGGAAAGAAAAGTGAAAATAAGTAAAGTTATCAAGTATGATGGTTGAAACGTCGGTTGAGTCACGTGAGAGAGATAAGCCGACTCCCAAACATTCACACATGTGAGACTATTTTGTCGAATAATTAATTTTTTAAAATATGTTTAATTTAATAAATAATTTTTTAGTTAGTTTTTAAAATTTAAAATTTTCATTTAATTATTTTTAAAATTAAATAGGAACGAAAATTGATGTATACTTAAATTATTATTTTATTAAGATATTTAGATTTGTTTACGTATGTATAAATGCTGCATGTCTATACATTTAAATATGTAAATAAAAATAATAATTGAATGACATTATCATATAGATAAATTTGATAATTTTATTTATTTATTTATTTATAATCTGAAGATATATATGGTAATTGTTTTAATTTTTTTATTGTCAATGATGGTATGGCTTTTTGCTGTAAAAATTGCTGCCAAATTACCAAATCAACCCAATCTGAATTAAATTCAAATTTTCAGCTTAAATTTTTAAATAAGGAATTATGGTGAGATATTTTTCATGCCATAAATATTTGGAAATTTATATTTTTTATAAAATAAAAAAAAATTATTTCAATTATTGTTGAGTTTTGTTAATTTTGGTATCTTAATAAATATTTACTATAAAAATAAATACTTTTACCAAACTTGTCGAGACAATTTTGAATTTGTTTGTAATTTTCTTAAAATTAGAGTTAAACGTCAAAATTACCTAAAGTAACTTTTATGAAAAATTAGGAAGAAGACAATATGCATTAATTTTTTTTTTTCTTAAAAAAAACGGTACATCGAATTAAATATTTACTTTAAATTTGAAAGATTAAAAACAAACCACAGATTTGCCGTAAAAAAAAATTAACGAGCATGTGACCGTGAAGTTCATCTATTTCAGGAGGTTGTGTCCTCACGTTGCAAAAAATTGCTGTCAAAAAAATATATTAATATTATTTGCCAAATCAATATAATATAATTAAGAAATTAAACTGCCACGTCATTTTTTCAGGTTTATTTTAAGAATTAAATAACATATGTATATTACTTATCATTGGGTAGCCCAATTTTTTCAGGCCCAACAAAAGTGCAGCCCACTTGCACACATGAGGCCCGATTTTTTTTTTTTTTTTTAATATTCTTAAATTTTGATTGATTTTTAAAAAAAAAAAAAATTAGAAGATATTATAAGCTTTTAAAATGTAAATACAACATTTATTGGTATTTTGTATAATTAAAAATTTAGAAAATGAAAAACTTAAGAAAGGGGGAGAAGGGGTTGGAGTGAGGCCCAAGCCATTAATGGAGCTATACTAAAATCCACTCAGACTCTGGTTCCCGCATTTCTCTTTGCGATTCAACTCTCTCCTCTCTCAGGTTTGGATTTCTTCCTTCAATCTTCACAACTTCAATTCATATCTCTACATGTGTTAGTTTAGATTAGGGTTTTTGGAACAGGTTTGCGTTTCATTGATTTGATTTCGGCACAAACATGTCCGATTGCTCTGGGCTGACAATTCTCTCCTTTTTTATTTTTTTTGTTCTTATGTTGCAAAGATTTTCATACTTTGTTCCGGGGAAGCTTGAGTAGCGGACCTGATGTCGGTGCGTTTCTCTTCATTAGCATTATTGCCATTCTTTTGGAAGTTTTAGGTTGTATGTAGTTCAGACATTGTGGTATTAAATTGTTTTTGTAGATCTTTGAGTATAATGGAAGTGCCGTAGTTGCGATGGTGGGGAAGAATTGTTTTGCCATTGCTAGCGATCGTAGGTTTGGAGTTCAGCTTCAGACAATTGCCACGGATTTCCAGAAAATTTACCGGATTCATGATAAGCTATTTCTTGGCCTTTCGGGCCTCGGTACCGATGCTCAGACACTGTATGTTCCTGTGGTTGATTCTTTTCCGGTTGGTTTTCATTGCTTAACTCCTGCGTTTGAAATGAAGGTATCAACGACTTGTCTATCAGCACAAACTATACCAGCTTCGAGAAGAGAGGGACATGAAACCTGAGACATTTGCTAGCCTTGTCTCAGCTCGTCTTTATGAGAAAAGGTTGGACATCGATTGAACTTCTAGTTATCTCTTTTTCAGCTGTTTTCACGCATACTCTCTATTTTTCGCCGTAGACTGAAGAACATGGTTGGGAATGAGATTTCTATAGGATTTGTCCGAGCTTCATTTGTGTGTATATGTTGATTCTTCTACCAGTGTGATCCTCATGTTGATGTAATATTGTAAGCTGACTTGATAGAGATGTTGCCTTGCACTAAGTGTCACTCCAGAGTTTATGATGTCAACCTTCAATGCATAGTACAGATATGTCAAAGCGTGTTTATAGAATTGGTGTATGTTAAATTGACTGGCAAGATCTTTTATACGAATTTAGAAATAGGATTACAAGTTGGCTTGTTGGATATAGTTGAAAATGTGAATAAACTTGTGAACAATATTGAAAAGCGCACACAAAAAGGATGAATTCACTATTATTGTTTTGCCTTTTTAGGTCAGATTAAAAACTCATATATCAATTTTCTCATTCGTAGATTTGGTCCATACTTCTGCCAGCCTGTAATTGCTGGATTGAGTGATGAAGACAAACCCTTCATTTGCACAATGGATTGCATTGGGGCCAAGTGAGTACTCTCCTTTTTTTTTCTCTGTCTAGGTCACAACTTTTTTATTTTCTTTGGTTGGACTTTTAGCTTACATTAGTTATATGGGTATCTTCTTGTTGTTTGATTACAAAAATGTGCATCAGACTTGATGTTGCAGTCTCTGCAACGCATTGTAATGAAATATTATTTTTGGGATTAGCTTTTCTAGGTTTAGGATTATCTAATGTAAAACTAATACATCGAATTCACTGTTCCCAGAGAGCTTGCTAAGGATTTTGTTGTTTCTGGCACTGCATCAGAGTCCCTTTATGGTGCGTGTGAGGCAATGTTTAAACCTGACCTGGTATGTTGGTATAATCCATTTACATATGCTCTGTATCCATCATTGGGATTCTGATTTGCTTTGAACTGAGGAAGAAATATATGTAAGTTGCTTGTTTGCTTTGCGATTTAGCAATGTAGCCTTTCCATTGGTGTTGGTGGTTTGATTCAGGTCAATTTTTCGACCAAATGGATACTGACAGTTGAGTGTAAGATATCCAAAATAACTAAGTTGCTGATAGAATGTAAGCTTGTGTTGCAAGTAGATCTATCTGTTATAGGCATTATCATTGACCGCCCCATACCCCAAGGTAAACAATACTTTAGGAAGAGCACCTATCAGACTTGCTTTGGCATAAGAAGGAAGAATAAATGAAAATATATACCCAGAATTGAAATCATAGAAGAAAAAGGATTAAGCATATGCCCATAAAAGGAAGAGAAATTAGTGCATGTGTATGAAAGAGGAGAGAGTAGAAAAATAAAATAAAATAAAAAAGATAAGGACTCGAATCAACTTACACCATTACCTTAGACACTGGAAGAACAAATTAGGTACGGTAAAAATGTGACTTCCAGTTGGAGCTGTTAAACCAGAGAGTCATTGAACAAAGGGTCCAACAACTCTCATGGATTGAATCATTGGTCATTGTACATGTAGAAGATGAAAAATTAAGAGAATTGTTTGTCTATAGAACTACTTAATGGACTGTGATGAACATATGAAGTGCAAAAATTTGACTCACGAGAAGAAATTGAGGAGGAAGATAAGAGAGAGGAGAATGAGAGTGAGATACTGAGGGGTGGGGCGTCTGCTATTGAGGTTTCTGGAAAGGAGATGGCTAACTTAACGATGTCTCGGAATAAGAGTGGTTGAAGGTTAAGACATGTATATAGAAGTGGCAGTGGGCAGTTTATAATCAGTTGGTCAGATTGGTAGAGTAAAATATATTGAAAACTGAAACCAACCAACTCGTGTTATTTTCTTAGGGCATGTTTGGGAATGATTTTGACTGATTTGTTATTTTCTTATGCCATGTTTGGGAGTGGTTTTGGAAAATTACTTCCATACATGCCATGAAATTGGAAAAGCCGAAATTAAGTTAACCAACAGACCTATGAAACCAGTGTGTACCAACTTTGGTTTCAGTCTGTTTCCTTAATTTATTGAGTTTGACTTGCACCCTTAATTATTCAGTTGTGAGGAATTGGTCGAGCTTTTTGAAAAACAATCCAGCAGTCTTGCTGTTTCGGATTTAACTTCACCATATCTTGTTAGAATGGAAGGCACTGTAGTTTCTTTCATTTGATTATGCCAAGAGCTGAGCATGATGTTCAAATTTGTAATCTTGATAGGTAGTGGAAAATAATCTTAGTGGGGAAAACAATTCCCGTCCTAATTCTTTTGTGGGAATGTTCTTAACTTTATAATTAACTTTGTCAATTCAAATTTGTATTGGCCAGGAACCAGAGGAATTATTTGAAACCATCTCTCAAGCGCTGCTGTCTTCTGTGGATCGGGACTGTTTGAGTGGATGGGGAGGGCATGTCTATGTTGTGTAAGCCACGCGTTCTTGATTCTTGTTTAATCGTTGAGATATCTTTCTGGATTGTTTATTGGGTTTTTTCTGTTAAAAAATGAAAAAAAAGAAAAGTGGTTTGTTTATTGTTGTAAATTGTGATTATTCTGGTAGATGTTGCTTTTTCGAATATTTTGCATATCACCTGGGATAAAATGATAATATTTGTAATAGAATATTACTTTTTCTTGACACATATTAGCTCATCGTTTGTTATCGTAAAAATAACAATAATATTTGTAACAGAACTTGTTACGAGGCATTTTTGTTTAAAGTTGTGCAATTTATTAACTGTGTTTGAGGTATACATTATTTAGTCTCCTCTTTACATTTCCAATCTATATGATCCGTTGAGTGTAATTTTCAAATTGCACCCCTGTTGGTTTATGCTCTATCGTCTTTTGCTTTCTCTAGTCAATAATTTAAACCATTATGGGGCATCCAAAAATAACAATAATAATATTTTTCCAAAAAATATTAAACCATTATGTATGCCCCTGACAAACATTCCAAAAGTATCCTTTGGTATAATGCAGAATGGGTTTTTTCTTTCATTTCTACCTAATCCATTTTTTCCTTTTTGCCTTTTACCCTTATTTCTGTCGACCTTTTCCTGTCTTCCATTATATATTTGTGATTGAAATTATCCTATAATGTGTCTTTTTTCAGTACGCCAACTGAAGTAAAAGAGCGAATCTTGAAGGGACGAATGGATTGATCCTTCTTCCGATGTATGAAAGGTGACGTGTTTCGTGATTACTTCGTATTAGACTGCAGCCCAGGGATGGAGTACGCGAGTGAAATGCAAAAAACTTTCATGTTGGGCTGAAACTTGTACTCTGCTCTATATATTTGTCATGGGAATTGGCTTTATCTAGAACTGTCCACGTGAAACAAGGTTTATTAAACAAAATCTGCTTTGGTTCCAAACTTGATTAATTTAGATTCCAATTTTTCTATTTACTCTTTAATGGTAACTTAGCTTGTGCACATCTTTTACTGATCCAATTGCTTTATATTTTTCAACAACTTGTAGCCACAGTATATTCTTCCTTGTCAAAACATCCATACATTGGATCAGTTCTCGAGCGGCCTCCGGTATGGACAAAGGTTGTCAGCAAAGAGAGGCCGTCGTGGAACCGTGGAGAGGCAAGGTAAGAACTGGCTAGTATTTTGATATCTGAAATGTAGGATGGAGGTATAAAATAATGTTACTTGAGATATACAACTTTACTTTCCTTTCCTTTGCACAAAACCTGCCTTCTCTGCAAAGAAAACTAAGAACTCCTCTACTCTAAAGATTGATGGAGGGCTTGATAGGTTGAGGAACTAGAACAAGGTGGGAATCTAGAATATAGAAATGTCCATTAGAGTTGGTTTCCAGTTGCCTTCTATGAAAGTTGTCTCTCAATCAAGAAACCAGCAAAAAGTGCAACTTCATAAACCCTAAGCCATGGCTCGTGTTGCACTGCTCTCGGAGATTTTGATCATTTGTTGTAATGGAAGAGCAAGAGGATAAGCAACTCCCTCAGAGGATTTCCCGTGCTTATGTGGAACAGGTGAACACAGATTTTATTATGGCCTTGGCAATGCAGCAGCAGGAGCATGAGAGGAACTACACGATGCTCGAGACCATCGAAAGTGATAGCGAAGAAGATGAACGTTCAGATTCCAACAGCAGCAATGGTCTCGACCACACCAATGACTCCTTCCAAAGCCAAGAACTTCATTCCCCGTGGGGTTTTCTTGCAGACGACGAGGAGGAGACTACGGATGATAATGAATATATGGACGAAGACGAAGAAGAAGATATCGAGGAGTTTGATTTGGATGAGCTAAGCTATGAAGAGTTGATTGCATTAGGGGAGTTCATTGGAGAAGAAAAGAGGGGACTACCGATGAACGAAATACCTTCGTGCTTGCACTCGAGCAAGTTTCAAACCATCGAAAACAAAAGCGGTATAGATCGGTGTGTGATTTGCCAAGTTGAATATGAAGATAGTGAAGAATTGGCTGCCCTTCCTTGTGAGCATCCTTACCATTCAGAATGTATAAGCAAATGGCTTCAAATCAAAAGGGTTTGTCCAATATGTGGCACAGAAGTTTCATCTCCCAAGCCTTCTAAAAATGCTTAATATCTTCATGATTTGTTCATTAATTGAAAGGAATCTGAAGAATATCAAGAACTTCGCAAAGAAAACAGGGAGGTTTATTTCTTCATATTCATATACTTTTTAATGTCAATACCTCATCCTAAAGAACCCTCTTTAGCTTTAATTATATTGCAAATTGTTTTTATTACATTGATTGTGACTCATTGATAGTATTATATAGAATCTCCCTCACATTTTATGTATATATAATCTTCGAGCAAATAACCTCAAAATCTCTCTTCAAATAGTCTATTCGACAAAATTTAACCACAAATCAAATACGACTACTTTTCCAAGACCCGACCCATCACATCCTTGTTTCGCGCTCAAAGATTCTAAAGGTTCTGCCAACATAACTAAATCTATGCCTAATTTTACCATTTATCTTACTTAAAAATCTTCGAACCAATAAGAATACCATCTGTTTCACTAACGAGTGAGAACTCTATGTGCATCCCGAACATTGCGCTGAAAAGTAGCACCACGTGGGAAATTTAATGCAAAGAAGATAAGCCAATCCTCAATGAAGAATGGTAGACATGGGGTATGGACCAATTGGACAAGAAATTGAGTGTTTGACGGCAGAGAACTTAGTCGGCGCCGCCCTAAGAAAAGTTAAAAGGATCCACAATTTTGGAGGTCAGTTTGAAATAATAGAAATGTGTTACAATTCACTTGGACAAAATAAATAAATAAATAAATAGATAATTAGATAAATAAATAAATAAAGACAAGACATGGGCTGTCTTCTCTGGACACCACTTGAAGTCGACAAAGACAGTAATTTTGCAGCCAAGTTTGAGGTTTTCCCATTTCTTTTTATTAATTTATCTCAATTTAATTCTTTGGGTTTAATATTTACAATATGACTCACTATTTTGTAATTATTTTTTTAATTTTTAAAATTTTAAATTTTTTTTATTTACTTAATGTCAAAATATTATCAACTTGTCTACTATACGAATTTTAGTGTAATTAAATGCAATGTGACAAATTAGGACTAAATGGTTAAATTTGTCACATCGTTGATAAATATTTATTCAAATTATTTCAAGAAACTTTGGGTTCAAATATTATGGGATATATATATAAATAATTTTAAAACTAAACTTTGTTTTAATAATAAAATAAGCGTGTGGGAAAATAGTGCCAATATTTATGAAATAATATTTATATACTTTTGTCTTTTGTGTCCTTTTCTTCTAATTCTTATCCCTACCATTTACCAAACTCTCCTTCCTCCTTCGAAGGCAATATGTGAGGTGTCTACTGGACCGAACACAAACGAGGAAGGCCGTTCTTGTCTTTTCCCCCTAATTTTCCAAATCGACAAAATCTAGGATTCAGTTGAAGATTTTTTTTTTCATTTATTTTACTCTTTTAATTTTTAAATATCTATTTTAATTCATCAACTTTCATATATTAAAAAAAAAAAAAAAAAACAAGGAAGTATAAAAATGATTGTTTTTTTAAGTACAAAAATTTTAAACATTCAAACTAAAAACAATAAACATAAATTTAAAGTAAACGGAAAATAATTTAAATGTCATAAATTGGATATTTCTATTAAGGTATTTTAGAGTCAAACTTGGAAAAGAAAATTATTATTTCTTGCCCCCATAAATAAATAGATAAATAAATAAATATATATATATATATATATATATATATATATATATATATATATATATAAATAAAATTAGGTTAGGAACCACTAAAATTCATAATTATTCTTTCCCCCCAGAAATCAAATTAAACATGTTTTAAAAAACGAAAAAAAATTTTTTAACACACATAGTCCCATTAATATTATACGTGTGATGCGTGTAATTTAGAGTTAAAATATATAAATACCTATGTGGTATATAGGTTTGTTAATCCTAAATTATAAATTCTTCGTATTTTAAACTTTAAATTATTACGGTGAGATAAATATTATTTTTTAAAAAAAATTAACCTTCAACTTAAAAGAACACAAATAATTATATAATAATTTTTTAATAAATGGAATATTCGAATGTTGACCAGAATATTTCCAAGGTCATATATATATATATATAAATAAATAATTTCCTTTTAATAAAAAAATCAGACAAACTTTGTGAAAGTAAAATAGTTTCCAGTGGACCACTGGCAGAGCTTGATGTGATATATTTGTCAAATTTTTATAATATTTAATTGGTCAAACATTATTAATTATTTATTAAAAAAGGAAAGAAAAAGAATAATAGTAAACGATAGAGACGAGGAAAGCTAACCGGAAGCAGCAGGTGACTTCAAAGCCACCGTTCCAATAAACGCCAAACAACGTTCCATCCCCGCGATTTACGTGAATTCCACGGCGATTTTTTTTGGGTTGTTGGGTTATGTTTTTAATAAATATGAAAATATTTTTAATTTTCAATAATTTAGTTAATATAATTATAAATTTACTCTAATGTAAAATTAATACAATTGTAAAAATTTAGGGTTTAAATTGATAAAATTATTTATTTAGAATTTTAATATACAATTCAAAATTCAAAATTCAAAATTTAGGGTGAATTTTATTTTTGCCTAAAATTCAAGTAATAGACAAAAAATGAGAAAAAAATATTTAAACGATATTAATTAAAAAATCATAATTTATTAAACTAATTAAAATATTATTACAAAAAGAAAAGGGAATATCGGCTGATTTAAATAGTTAAATAATTATTAAAAAATAGAGATAACAGAACTTTTGACGTCGCTCTAACCCAAAACAAGATGCGTAAGCGATGACAAAATCACCTGAATGCGCGTCTATTGCTCACGCATGGACTTTCATTTGCCACGTGTCCAAGCCGGCACATATTTTCTCTCGCCGACAACTAAAACGCTTATATCCCACGTGCTTTCCCCTCTCTCTCTCCGCCACGTGTTCCTCTTCCAACTCCTATAAATACCCTTCCCATCCATTGTTTCCACGTTTGAACCGGCGACGTAGCTCACAACACACAAACGCATAGAAAGAGAAAAAAAAACCGGTTGAAGGAAAAACCACAGAGATTCAGAGAAGCGATTGAAATATACAGAACAAAAGAGATGACGGCCGGGATGATTCAGTTGCCGCCCGGTTTCCGGTTCCATCCGACCGACGAGGAGCTCGTCATTCACTATCTCTGCCGGAGATGCGCCTCGCAGCCGATTGCCGTTCCGGTCATTGCCGAAATCGATCTTTATAAGTTCGATCCTTGGGATCTTCCAGGTAAATTAATAGGAAAATTCGAATTCTGTGTCGAATTTTTTGATTTAGATGAGAAATTGAGTCTCTGATTCTAATTCTAACCGTTGATTTTGCAGAAATGGCTTTACACGGAGAGAAAGAGTGGTATTTCTTCTCGCCGAGGGAGAGGAAATATCCGAACGGTTCACGGCCGAACCGGGCGGCTGGTTCGGGTTACTGGAAGGCGACCGGAGCTGATAAGCCGATCGGACGTCCGAAACCGGTTGGAATCAAGAAGGCGTTGGTGTTTTATACCGGGAAAGCTCCGAGAGGGGAGAAAACCAATTGGATTATGCACGAGTACCGGCTCGCCGATGTGGACCGGTCGGCTCGCAACAAGAATAGCCTTAGGGTAATATTCCTCAACAAATTGAAGGGGTTTTGTTTTTAATCAATTGCGAATAAAAAATCTGAATCAACGGCTGTGATTTTGCAGTTGGACGATTGGGTTCTGTGCCGGATTTACAACAAGAAGGGCGTAATCGATAAGCGAAACCACGCTGCCGTGAATCGGAACACGAACGGCTTTAAAGTAGAGATGGAGGACGAGAAGCCGAACATTTTCGCGAATCACGGCGGCGATGGAGGGTTTATGCCGGCAGTCACGGCGGTGCCGGCGTCAGTGGACGATTGCATACATTTCGAAACATCGGATTCGATACCGCGATTGCACGCGGATTCCAGCTGTTCGGAGCACGTGGTATCGCCGGAATTCGCGACGAGCGAAGTTCAGAGCGAGCCAAAATGGAAGGAGTTTCAAAATGCCTTTGATTTTCGATATAATTACATTGATAACTCACTAGACCAGGAATTTGCGACGCCGTTTCAGGGCGGGAATCAGATGTCGCCGCTCCAGGATATGTTCATGTACCTGCAGAAGCCATTTTGAATATCCAGCGTCTGATTATTCTTTGAATCCTTAAGTGAACGAACAGTCGTTGATGGTCGTTCAATCGGACGGTCGCACGAGATTGACAGTCTGTGAGTGCGCCGCCGCGTATATAGGAAAAAAAGAAATACAGACTGGAAGCAGGAGTTGGTCATTGTGGTAGGGCCCGATTGTGGGGTCCACTTAGGTATTTAGATCAGACGGGCGCCGTTTAATCAGACGTTGCTTGTGAAAATAGGCTGTAATACACCGTATAGTTTCTTTGGAACTCCATTGGAGCCCTTGTAAGCTCCTATAATTTGTACCTAATTCTAGGTTTATTAATATTTTGAAAATTCTTACCATGCGTTTTTTTTTTTACCTCGCACTTTGCAATTTTACCAATTTTCTTATGATACTAAATTAGAATAAAAAAAAATCAAAATTTATTTATATTAAATAATAGGGTAAAAATCCATTAATTAAGCATGATACTAACCGCATTTTTATTAAAAAATTTAAAAATATTAATTAAATATTTGAAAAGTCCAAAATATTTTTTAAACCAAATTTAATTTATATTCAAAACTAAAGAGTATTTTTTTTAACCTTTTTTTTTTAGTCATATCCCTTCCTCCATAGTTTACATTCCCATATAACACCAATTATCCTCCCGTTTTCTAAAATCTAAAACTTTCTTTTTCTAAAACTTTCTTCTTGAACCAGAACTAAAAGCTCGAGTATACGTCGCTTGGCCGTAAACGACGCAAGAACGAATAGACTTAACTCACTTGTTGTTGGAAAGTGAGTACCACACAAGCGCAAATTTGCTGCCATCAAAGTGCGAAACTTAAAATTGTTTTAAAACTTTTTAAAAAAAGTTGAGAGATTATTGAAACTTCTAAAAGTTTAATATTTTTAAGACAAATTACAAACTTCGTCTTTATTAATTTAGCCTATTTTAAATTACAAATTTTTAACTAAAGGTAAAAAATTATAATTTATTTCTACCAAACCTATAAGACCAGAACACATTAGCATTAAAGAAACAAATGTCTTAGTCAATAACATTAATTGTTCAGAAAAAAAAACAAGATAATAGTAAGATAATAATTTTCATTAAAAACAAAACATAAATATTTAAGTTGGATAGCGTCTATAGATGTCTATACTATAGTGCTCTATCTACCACCTAAATTATCCATGCTTATCTAGAAGCATACTATTCTTTAACATTTACTTTTATATCTTATTTTTTTAATTAAAAGTAAAATTCAAAGGAGGAAAAATATATATATTCTAAAGTTCAATAATGCAATAAACAATGTCAGGGAGAACAAAAGATTGGTGGTTGTAGATAAACTACTATTAAAGATAAGCATGTGCCGAAATATTGGAAGTGAACCAGTCCAACTAGAACAAAGAAATACTTTAAATGTTATCTAACCTTTTTCTTGTAGACTTTCAAATATTGCATTTCCTTCCTATACACACAACATATCAATGTCAGCACTGACTTTTTGCATCAAAAGCTGGAGGTCAAATGAGGCATATGTTCATATTCTCTACAGTTTCGTACCTAATCGATGCACACGGGTGCGTGCGACAGATGGTTGGTGAGCGAACGAAGGCTCGCTTTAGCAACAAGACTAATCTGCAGCACCAACGAGTGCATATCTGGCTTGAGTAAACGATGAGATGAGCAATCCGAGTTGTAATTTGTCGTTGCATCCAAAACTCATTCTGTACCTACAAACAGCAACCGGTCAAACTGGTTAATTCAGTAACAGATCAAAAAACTTGATATGTGTCCTTTCTAGGTCTGTTTTTTTTTTAATTTGATTGAGTTAATATGTGAGATCCTACATCGGTTGGGGAGGAGAATGAAACATTGTTTATAAGGGTGTGGAAACCTCTCTCTAGCAGACGCGTTTTAAAAAACCATGAGGGGAAACCCAAAAGGGAAAATCCAAAGAAGATAATATCCATTAACAGTGGACTTGAGCTGTTACAAATGGTATCAGAGCTAGATACCGAGCGATGTGCCAGTGAGAAGACTAAGCCCCGAAGGGGGTGGACATGAGGCGGTGTGCCAGCAAGGGCGCTGGGCCCCAAAGGGGGTGGATTGAGGGGTCCCACATCGATTGGAGAAGGGAACGAGTGCCAGTAAGGACACTAGACCCCAAAGGGAAGTGGATTGTGAAATCCCACATCGATTGGGGAGGAGAATGAAGCATTCTTTACAAGGGTGTGAAAATCTCTCCCTAACATACGCGTTTTAAAAACCTCGAGGAGAAGCTCGAAAGGGAAAACCCAAAGAATTCACTACCCCTTACATAAGAAGTCACATGTTCGCAAATATTGAATTCAGTACCCTTAATTCCCTCTTCATACTTAGAAAAAAAGAATGTCATGAAATTTCGTTATCGTCTTTGGGACTTCGAAGACTTAAAAGCCTATTCTATTCTATTGATGAGTGGGATAGATTCATTGTACAGCCACGAGAAGTTCCAGCTTACAAGCAATGGAAGTATATGCTTAATTAGACAGTCTTTTTCAACTAAGGGATTGATCACTAATTCGTGATCAAAGGCTTGTTAGAAAGAATTGTGTTAGGTCTAGCAGTTGACCAGTTTTTCAAATTGAAAAGATAAGATCAAACGATGCAAATCATAGGATAGAATGTCCTTTTATCTTTATCCATAAAGAAAACTGCAGCATAATTCTATTCATTGAACTGAAGAATATGACAGAACTTTTAGCTTACAAAAGTAAAAGTAGAAATAGATGAGTAAGAATGTTTTACAAGTTAGATCAGAAAAACAGAGATTCTCTAGTCCTTTTCTACCTATATGTCACTCGTTCAACTTAGTAAGCTCCTCCCTATCCACGAAAAAGAAACCCCCAGTTTTTTAAGCCTTCCGATTTATGCGTAACAATTAAGATGAAGCGTGTATGGTGGTCGTTATTTTGCAGATCATACATATTTTTAAAGAACAAAATAATAAAACTTGACAAGAAACTAAATAAGGAGATTGATGCGTACTCTATGTCAGCCAGATCATTAATCAACTGAACTCTGACTTCCGATGGCATCTTGATCTTAAAAACAAACCTACATGAATTGAACAGTTGGGGAAGTCAAGTAAATATCATCACCCAGAAATCATGCAAAATGATGTAAAGCACTTACATAGTGACTTCTCTCACTATATCAACCAAAGCTAATCCTTTTCTGGTCTTTATTTCAGATATTCCTGAACACGGGATTAGTAGGAATTTATAAAAAAATCTGGCAAACCACATCAAAATTAATGGAAAACTCCAGAGAAAATCAATTACTCTTAAAACTGTCAGAAAATGGTTCATTCAGCAGCCAAAATGATATTTGTTCTATGTCTTTGGGCATTGGATTTCCTGTACATAGGTATACAGCCTCGTCAGTAATATGATGAGAAGCCATATGCGTTGACTGCATAAAAAAGCATCATTAGGATCACAAAGTAACAACTAAATAACATATGTAAACTTCTTCAATCGATGTGTGAGTTATAAAAGAATGTTGACATGCACCAGTGCATGTTGATTTAAGGGAGCATTGTGATCCAAATTCCAAAATATGCAGATAAGTGTGCAGCAATTTAAGAGTGCTTAGCCTTTATTATCCACACTTTGATCATTTCTCGTAGTACTAACAGAAGGTAACTGAACCATGGGTCATAAAGCATCATGAATCCAATTATTTGAATTGCTTTCTTTTTTCTTTGTTGCATTTGAAGTCAGAGCTCAATTCTATGAAAATTTTACACATGGAAATGTTGAGAACACTAGATAAAGTTGAACTATTAAATCCAACCATTAAAAAAAAAGCACCAAGGAGATGGGATGACTTGTAGTTATAGTTGCTTAAGCCTTTTCTCTAGGTTTTTCTTATCAATTCCTCCAAATTTTTAAGTAATAATGAGTGTGTATCCATACGGTCCGCTACTTTTACTAGCTAACAAGGCAAGGGTGAAAAAAGGAGGCAAAAAACCACTATAACAGTGATTGAGTTCCAGGATATCATATTCTTAATCTTTAATAGATGAGAACAACTTGCCTACATCTTTTACTACTGACATGATATGTTTCCCATTTATACTTCCATGTCCTTAATTCTCATAAAATTAAGCCATCACTTTATTCTGGCCTAATAGCTACTGAATACCGCAAAATGCAGAAAACGAAGTCAAATAAAAACCATATTACCTGCAGAATATTTAAAGCCTTTCTCATATCACCACCACAAAGTCGAACAAGGGCTGCTAAGCCACTCTCAGAGACGTCCAACCTAATTACCATTCAGGTATAGAGAATTAGACATATGTTCAGAATAGAGTTACATGTTCAAAAATATATAGGATCCAACTAACATCACCTCCAAAAACAATCTAGATTCAATAAATTACATGTTCTTTTTAAAAGAGATTGTGTATTCTACCCCCAATATTTACAAAGCTAGAATGACAAATTGAATTATATATCAGAATTAAAATGAAGGCAATTACCCTTGCACATCAATATACCGTAGATACCAGCCATCAAAGACTTTGAACGTTTGCTAGTCAGACAAATGTAAGCAATAACGAGATTAATGTGCGTATTATAAGTGAAACAAGGAAGACCTCATACCTCTCAGCCTCAATAACATATCTGAGTCGTTCGGTGACATGAAAGTTATCGAGGGGAGCAAATCGGAAGCGGGTACATCTTGATTGTAAAGCGGGAATAATCTTATTTACGTGATTACATATAAGAGTAAACCTTGTACCTTTTGTATATTTCTCAATTACTGCACGAAGGACAAATATAGCAACAATTGGTATAGGGCACTGTAGCTCAATGAAAGATGGAGGGATAAAATGAGAGTAGCAACGTATGAGATAAACCTCTACGTAAAGCAAACTGTGCATCTTTAGTCATGGCATCTGCCTCGTCCAGAAGTACCAATTTTACAGATGGTTTAACCCTGCAAATTTAGATGTTTAAGCTAAATAAAAATGTTTTCTATAGAAATTGTATCAAAATGTGGAAAACACATTTCGTATTAATACGAAATCAGCTTGATACTAACGAATTGTCAATGAATACTTCAAATCACAGTTCTACCCTGCTGTATACATGAATTGCAACGATGGCCCATCAAATGATTAAAAATGAAATGGTTTGATGCTTTGTTCACCCATCAATGGCTAAATGTAATATACCACACCCAACCTCTTCAACATAATTCCAATGATACAGAGAGTATGTTTTTGAATTCAGATAAGCGAATGATATAATTAATCATTACCCAAATGAAAAGCTTTGAGTACTGACAAAATTCTGAATCTGCTGT